AAAACGTTTGGCTTCCTGCAAAACGAAGATGAGCCATGCGTTTACAAGAAGGTCAGTGGGAGCGCAGTAATCTTCCTTGTACTTTATGTGGATGATATATTGCTCATCGGAAATGATATTCCTACCTTGCAAGGAGTAAAATCCTGGCTAGGATCAGTCTTTTCGATGAAAGACTTAGGAGAAGCCGCCTATATTCTAGGCATCAAGATCTATAGAGATAGATCAAGAAGGCTTCTTGGCCTAAGTCAGAGTACATACATTGACAAGGTCTTGAATCGGTTCAAGATGCAAGACTCCAAGAGGGGTGCCTTGCCAATGGGACATGACGTTGTTCTTAGCAAGACTCAGTGTCCAAAGACACAGAATGAGCAAGCGCATGAGTAGGATTCCATATGCCTCGGCAATTGGATCCATCATGTAGGCCATGTTGTGTACTCGTCCGGATGACTTCAGATCGCAGTCAGGTTATGTTTTCTGCCTGAACGGTGGGGCTATCAGTTGGAAGAGTTCCAAACAGCCAACCGTTGCAGATTCGACTACAGAAGCCGAGTACGTAGCTGCATCGGATGCAGCTAAGGAAGCTGTTTGGATCAGGAAATTCGTCGGAGACCTGGGCGTTATTCCTAGCATTGCAGATCCCATTGAGCTGTACTGTGACAACAATGGTGCGATTGCGCAAGCTAAGGAACCCCGGTCACACCAGAGATCCAAACACATACTCAGGCGATTTCACTTTATCAGAGAAATCATCGACAGAGGAGACGTGAAGATAAGCAGAGTGTCGACAGATGATAATATTGCCGACCCATTGACAAAGCCTCTCCCTTCGTCAAAGCATGATGGTCATGTTAAGGGTATGGGGATTAGATGCTTGTAGGATATATCATAGAGCATAGTGGGAGATTGTTGGTTGTAATGCTCTAGGATGATCCATGATATGACATTTTACTTTGTATTGATTCATTGATTTATGAATGCATTATTTATCCGTTATATGATTAGCATGTTTGTTGTATTTCGGCATCCTTGAATCATTAGAGAATGATTCTAAACTCCCTAGTCAGTCATCATTGTGGGAACAATGATTGAATGAAGACTAGCATGAGGTGTGATCAACGCGTTGGATGTAGTTCACAATCATGGGTACTCGTTGTGAACGAGTGACTGGATGACCCGCATGAGATTGTCACATGGACAGAGTCATGACTTGAATCTCATACAACGGTTCGTTTATGGATCTCCATACCTGAGATGTCTAGAGTATCTGATATGAGCAGTGACGTGTCTTGACTGCGTCAAACGTCATCTTTAACCGGATGATTATAACGGCGTTGATCAGATACGTTCACGAATCATATGGAGACAGTAGACATGCAATATGGGACTTGATACCTCCTTCACATCACACATATTGCTGGGCCCCCTCGTGGAAGTCGGACTATGAAAACGCGTGGCCACGCCATAGATGAAGTTGCATCTATTTTATTAGTCGATTTACCAAGACGAGAAAGCGGTTGAACTTGAAGGGTGGCTCAAACCATGCCCTTGTTCAACTTATGATATCATGAGACAAATGATCAGAATTCGAGCTGTTAATGCCTTGGTTAGATCACCTATAACTCAATTCTAAATGGGTGGTCATGGAGTCTTGCTAGAGGCTAACCATGACTTGTGATTCGGGAAAAGTTCCTAAAGTCACTACCACTTAAAATGGGCCTACAGGGTCACGCACCAATAGGGATGGACTTATACGTGAAAAATACGAAGAATGGAAACGAGATTTGACCGAAACGAGCACGAAAAGAAGTTTTCAGTGCGTTGGTCAGATTAGGCAGTCTGGAAGCTCAGTCCGAGGTCATCTGTCCAGGTCTGGTTCGGCTGACCAAGAGTTGGTCAGCCCCGGACCAGACTCTGGGACAGGCGGACCGAGAAAAGACGAGTCGGACTGAGCTGACCAAGAAGGGTCTTGGTCCGGAGCTGACCACCTAAGTTTGGTCCGCCGGACCAAGCTCCTGGTTCGGCGGACCGGGATCTGGAAAATTTCCAAATATTCGTTTTTAGGGTTTTCTAATCTTATTTAAGTTTGGGATTTTGTCCAAACTTAATTAAGGCCGACCTAAAACTCAGAGAAACATCCTAGAACCCTAGAGAAGCTGTTCTCTTCGATTTCTATTGTCCCGGGATTGGATCTCGTCTCTTGAGTTACCCTTTTCTTCACTAATCCTAGCAGATTCGTTCCAAATCGTTTGGAATCCTTCCCGTCGGTGTGGATACGTGTAGAGGAGCTGTACTTTCAGCTCTTGGTGATTTAGAACAGGCCCCGGATCGAAATAAACTTCAAGTCTCATCGAGAACGAGGTAAGTAACGATTCCCTCGGTGATATACACGATCTTTCGGGTTTTGCGAGTTTGGTTGCGTGTGACGTTTGACTAGGTTTAGATCTTTCTTCCGCTGCATGAAACCTAGTAAACCAAACCCTAGATCGATATGATCGCATGCTAGGAACCCGTAGATAACCCCAACACGTCATATATTCCACATGAAGCATGACGAGGGCATGAAGATGGTTCCAATATCAATCCTCATAAATCACATCCTGGATTCAGATGAATTAGGGGTTAAAAACGAACTGTGGTTTGCCTTAAATGGTGTTCCTATCAGGTACTCAATCGTTGAGCATGCTCTGATATCTGGATTGGATTGCAGTAGTTATCCGTATGAATGGAAGTCCAGATTGAGTGACGAATATAGAAAGAACACTTTCGGCGATAAGAAGGTATTTTGTGTTCATATAACCGCCTATGTATGAAATATTAAAAAAAAACCCTAATTTTTCCTCGCTACAAATATTGAGTCATGCAGTTCGATTTCATCAGCAAACAACAAACATCATTTCAAAAACTAGTAAACACATGCGGAATCATCTGTGTCCATAATGTCTTCCCGTTGTCTAATCGGGTGGCACTACTCGGCGTCAGATGCTTCACCGAAGCGGAGCCATCTGTTGGCCATGTGTCGCCGCTGCCGTGATCACCTCTCCATCGTCCTCCCATCATCTAAACGGGTGGCACTACTCGGCGTCAGATGCTTTCCCCATGCTGGGCCTTCTGTTGGCCATGTGTCGCCGCGTCCTTGGCCACCTCTCTTACTTCCTCCCCTTGTCTAAACTGGTGGCACTACTCGGCGTCAGATGCTTTACCCACGCAGGGCCATCTGTCTAAACACAATATATTATTGGGTCGTTACGATACATTTTGGGACCTAATGGGCAGAGTACGCCGAGCAGACAACAACTCTCCATGGGGCGAACTGAACCG